GAACAAACGTGATCTGCAGCGTCTGTCTGCTGCACGGCGGCAGCTCTAACGTAACAGCGAGAAAAGACCGAGAGCTTTTTATTTTAATCCAGCAGGGAGAACAATACAGGTGTTCTTCTATGCCTCTTGTGAGCAGTTCCAGCATTTTTTAAAAGAAAAACAATGTGGACACGCTAATTACAGTGCGGTTTCAAACTGAAAGTAAAAACATGGCGCTCGCTGCGCTCCCTTTCGAAGTGAAACTAAACACACAGCTGTTCTCTCTACAACTCATAGTCTGACACAGCAAACAGAAACAGCTAAATTAGACAGTTAAAACACATTAAAAGTTCATAACTCACCCTTATTGTTGTTGGCACTCAGTGGAGATTGTGTGCCGAGGCTGTCACTGTTAACAGTGAACACCAAAGGGCGAAATTAACAGCTTTCTTTGAGGCACCGAAATAAAGCACTGAAATTAGAGTTGTGCTTTGGTCTGAGTACTACCGTTGATCTTCGCCCCGGTGCCATACTGAAACAGAGTTTCGGTACCCAACCCTATTCAGAGTGAGATAATAACAGATCCAGACAGGCAAGATGATGTGAAAAAAAGGGGGGAATAAGTAGTCCTGCACCTTAGTAATGGTAGCGAACTAATGACATTAGTGTGTGACCGAGCCGCTCCTCAAACAACAACAAACACATGTTCGTCTGTAATGTAATGTTCGTGTACCGGTGTTCTGAAAAAGTTTGTTTCCCTGAAAAAAATGTTTCCCCACCAGAGGGGGCACTCGCGAGTAGGAAGTAATCTGCTTTTTCCCCAGAAGATGGCCCAAATCTCATGTGAAGTCTCTGACTTTTGTGTTGGCACCTCCTGGTGGACTATGTGTAAAATGCCAGAATTCATATGATGCTGCTACAGCTGATTTATATTTGTTGTCAAAATACCTTTTAGTACATATGTTGTTAAAATAAAATGAACAGTCCAATGATCATTTTACTGATACAGTATGTATAAAGACTGCTAAGGCTGAAAAATCTTGAAGTCTGTATGAAATTGGAGGTAGTTTGAGGATTAAATTTTTTATGCTTTTTAAGCTCAAAAAAGTGTGTGTGTGTGGTGGGGGTGGTCGTATTATACATGAGATCGTATTATACACGAATAAATACGCTATATACTCCAGACACATACCCCAAAAAGTAAGAAATGGATAATTTTTTAACCAAATTAATCTACCTAAGCTCTCTCCTGAACAAGCAGAAGTATTAGGCGAACCCATGACAGAAACAGAGACATGACACTGTCAGGTTTCGGGTTTAAAGCTTCATTTATCGACTGGGTGAAGATGCTTTATAATAATCCAAGGGCGTCTGTGATAATGGTATGATATCACCCTTCTTAAGCCTGAAGAGGGGCACACGCCAAGGTTGTCCCCTCTCACCCTTCCTTCCTTTTTAATATCTCATTAGAGCCATTAGCAGTCACTATTAGAGACAATACAGAAATAAGGGGAGTAAATGGAGGTGACAAACAGCATAAACTGCTACTAATCGCAGATGATAAATTAGTATTATTAAGAGATGATATGAAGAGACTAAAGATATTGTGGGAAAATGACTTTGGAACTGTGTTTGGGGATGAAGAATGGATAAGAATTATTTCAAATACTGGGAAGTATATAAGGGAAGGTAAAGGTAAACTCACACAATATAAGATTATGCAAAGATATTATTGGACACCTATTAGATTGAATAGAATTGGTCTGAAAAACGACACACTGGAAGTGTAAAAGAGATGCAGGTACCTTGATATACTGTCTCTGGGAATGTCCAATTATTAGACCCTTCAGGTTACTTATTGTACATATACTGAGTAATTAGCTGGGAAAAACTATACCATTCTGTCCAAAACAATGTTTACTGGGTGATAAAACACAAATATCCAATATTTCAAAAGAGAAGTTTTCAGTAGTTATGGTGGGAATCTCTGTAGCAACTAAGGTTATTCTTAGACACTGGAAAACTGGAAAAAGTCCACAGGTAAAAGAATGATGATTAAAGTAGCATCTTATGAATGTATAATGTATAAATTAAACAACACAGATGGTACTAACGCCCCAAATTGGGACCCTTTTTGGTCATACATTAAACTACCTGGCAACCAACAAGCTGACAGTTGAAATTTATTTATATTATCATCACCTTTTCTGCTTATGGTCATTTACACCTAATTTTGATGTATATGAATACTTCAGGTCTTAAAATCTTTTCTTCTTACGGATGCTGCAAAATATACATCCCATCTCGTGTTCTATTGTGATATGAGTATTTTCATAGCCTATTTCTCGCATCTCAGTTTTTTTTTCTGTAAATGTAAGATGTAGTGATGTCATGTGCCAAGTAAGCTAATAAAAACTTTATTGGAAAAAAAATGCATTGCCCCCTTTTTATATAAAACAGTACCTAAAACGCTCTAAACCTATAGGAGTCAGTTAAATTTTGTGCGGAATAATGAAATTAAATCAAAAATTCAAAGATTTTTTTTGTCATTAAAAATGAGTATAATGAGGAATAAAAAATAGATGAGGCTCCTGTTGTCAGGAAAAAATACAATAAGCAATAAGAAGTTAAAATTAAAAAACAAAAGAAAAAATGTACATAGTGTGTCACGCATGTATTGCAGCATTCAAACGTAAACACTCAGCCATAGTAGAGTGATTGTCTAAAAAAATTTGAGATTAATGGAGATTAATCGCAAAAATATCTTGAGATTAACTGCGATTAAAATTTTTTAATCTATGCCCAGCACTAATTTTTATTCAGTATATATATACTG